GTGAAAATGGCGGGTAGAGCCAGAAGGTACAACAAATATGTAATATAACAAATCATTAATAGGGTTTGAAAAGTAGGGACAATTTTTGTTGCCCCGAAAATTTTACTGGTAGATTATAGGTATGTATTTGGAAAAAATTAAAGCGCTTTAATTTCGATTAAGGTTTACGTATAAATTTAAACAATAAAATAAAATCAAATTTTCAAAAATTCTTCTTTTTAATTTAATTAAACAGTTTATTAGTGTATGTGGGAATCATATCACAAAATAGTTCTCAAAAATAACATTTTACAATTTATTTTGATGTTTTTAATTTTGCTTCATATAATGGCGGCCATAAAACATTCACATTCACACAAAAATTCTTCCTTAAATATGGCGAATTATAATGCAACCATTTTATTATAAATGAATGCCTTAAATAAGTCTTTGTTGTAAAATAAAACGGTATAGGATAAATATCTATCATTACGCAGAATTTCCAGGCACTATAGAACTATTTTTGACATATTGAGATTTGTGACAAATAGATGTTGCCAAATCTCATTTGATTAGTATTTAAACTAACAAACATGATCAGATTTTCATGGATTCATGCACGCAATGCATTTCATGCATGCGCGACGAGTGAGCGGCAACCTAAGGACTTGGAAAAACAACAATAAAACAATACAAACATTACTACAGTAAAAATTTTACATCAACATGGCAACAATGCTTTGAAGAAGCCAGACAACCCGAGAGATTTTGGCTTTTGGGAACCCAGGGAATTCTCGGGATTATTTGCCGTAATTTCAAAGAGTTTTTTCTTACATGCTCTTTATAACTACCACTGCGTTTGTTAACTTTTTTCCAACATTGTCCAGAATTCATAATAGCTGTGATTGATTATACTCGTACGTAGATATTACTTTTGCAACAACAACAATAACAAAATAAATAATACGTTTATTATCATTTCAAAATAAATAACTAGGTATACCGTTTAATTTAAAATGAGGTTATATTATACATTACCAGTTTTATAGTGCAGATATTACAGCGAATTTATTTTGTTAATCACAATTTTATCATATAAGGCTATATAACTAGTGTTGTATACAGCAAAGTAGTTTAACACAATAAAACATTCTATCATACAACGTAATACAACTTTAATAAGACAAGTTTAAGTAACTGATGTGACTACAATGATCTTGTGACTACTAGTTATATGAATATTATAGAACTCTTACATGGTGGGTATAAGAGTCTAATAAAATAATATGTTTGTTATCATATAGCATTGTTTTATTAAGTGTTATATCATACTAAAAGAAATTATCGTTTAATGCGTTACAGGATACGTTGTAAAAACCACTAAAAAATAGTTTAATATGACAACTTTTATTAAAAAAAGAGAATGGTCGAAACCAAACGCTTAATAAACTCAAGCAGTCCTTAAGACAACGCTATGCGACTGTTATAAAATAATTCAATCCTTTTAGAATTTCTTTTTGCTACTTGGGTAAAACACTAATTTACCACAATACGCGTTACGTTAACCATGTTAGCATCATCAGCCAGATTATTAACACTAAACTAATATCTACAGATTGAGCGTTTATACAGGGTGGCGCCTCTCATACGACAATATTTGACATATTTCACATTTTGTGAAAATGAATAGTAACTTTTAGATTTCAATTACAGTTACCTAAATTTGAGTTGACCTTGTATAGCCTGATATTTAATTACAGTAACCATTGTATGTTAAACTAAATTAAAATTTGACCCGAGAAGTTATACAGGGTGAGGCAAAATTAATATGGAACATTAGTCACTTTTAAAAGCAAGTTACTGCTTTATTTTAAATGGAACACTTAATATATTATTCCGGTGTTCAATGGGGAATTCTTATATCTCCAAAATATTATTAAGGTTACCTACCTACTCAAAGATTTTTCTAAATCTTCTAATTTTTATGATTTTATTTTTATGTAGAGTAAAATACTCAACGGTAATAACAAGATTCACAAAGATACAACTAATGCTACTAACTAAAATTTCATTTCGATATCTGAGCTTAACTTCAGTTTACCTCTACCCAGTTACTTTTTAATAAGTTTTCATCATCAATAATCTTCCTTAAAGTTATTAATGAACGTTAGTGACGACAAAAAATTAAAATTGCCTTGACGAAAGCGTTAAAAATAATATAAAAATTAACGTTCAGCCGTCAATTTTAATTCCAGGGTAATAAATCTCGGATGATCTATCGATTTAGGCCCTGACTCTCTGTCGGTATAAAATTTTAACTTTCACAGATATTTAACTCGAGAATATTAAATTTTATGAATGGATTATGTGTCATTCATTGATAAAACGTCTAAAAGTCTTTTTAATATACTTTGTTTTCTTCCTCAATAATTCTTTTTATATTAATTAAAATAATTATTTATTAATGAAACTGATTAATTTGACAGTTGATCCCATTTGTTTATTTGTTTGACAGTTGATGCCGTTTCAATTTAAGTATTTTCTACCGGGTGCATCTCAAAAATGGCTCACCCTTATAACTTTTTTATTTTTTCAGATAAAAACACGAGATTTGGTATGTCAGTATATGACATAAATTAGAATTGATTGATGTATTCATATGTTTTCGGTCACTTCCTGTTTCACCGGAAACGATAACAATGATGATGGCACCCTCGGTATTTTTTTACTTTATTCAATAGAAAATGACATTCTTTTAATGTAGAGTGTCATGGCTGTGTTAAAAAACACTAATTTCTAATCAAGAAACCTTGGAAAAATAGATTTGATCGTCTAATGTCTTTCGTGTCGGTCCAATCATATTTCAATTTTTTCAAATGGAACGAAGGGGGCTCATTAGCATATTTGGAAAAAGCATTTTTTTACAAATAATTTGGTACCAATAATTTGGATATTTCGAGTCAAACTGTCATTATGAACCGCATATTACAATTTCAAATAAACCATATGCGAAAATGTCAAAAGTTGACACATAATATATCATTCGATTTAGAGTGTCATTTTCAATCGAATAAAGTAAAAAAATACCGAGGGTGCCATTTAAAAATCAAAAGTTGTAGTTATTTCCGGTGAAACAGGAAGTGACCGAAATCAATTGAATACGTCAACCAATCCTAATTTATGTCATATACCAACATACCAAATCTTGATTTTTTATCTGAAAAAATAAAAAAGTTATGAGGGTGAGCCACTTTTGTGATACACCCGGTATAGACTTCAATATATTTCAAAATTATGTTGAGCAAAACCTTTTTCAAATGGGAGGTAACAAATGTATAAAACTATCTCAAACTCAAGTATTATTTTGTGTATTTGAATATTATCCTGTTTTCTCACTATTTTCAGTTGAATTTCTATTCTAGTTTATATAAGGTGATCAAAAAGAATACAGTCGCAGTCGCTTTTGCTGGTCGGTCCGATCCGATGCAGTGCGCGCGGAGCTTTATCCTGGTTGCACGTATGGAAGTTCTGTTTCTTCTAGTTTTAGAAAATGTTCATATTTCTTTTTTCTTTGAAGGTGTAGTGTAAAATTAGATTAATTTATTAAGTTTAATTATAGTGTTTAGTGTAGCATGTTAGTGTAGTCTACCAAAAATAGTTTAGTAGTGTTTTTATAGTTTATTTTGTCGTTAAGTAGTAGGTGAAGGATAATTTTGTTATTTTTTCTTTTTTGTTTGATAAATTAGTAAGTTTGATAATTTGTTCAGTGTGTAGTGTTTTTAAGAGATTATATTCGTTTATTTTGTAGTTGAGTAGTAGGTGAAGGGGTATTTGGGTATTTCTTCTTTTTGTTTTTCTTGTAATAATTGTAGTAGTTCTATTAAGTATTGTAATAGATACACTATATCTTCCTTCAACTTCGTTGAAAAGTGCGTTATCATATAATCTTGGTTTTCTGGTAGCAGAATATACGAAAAAAAAATCTGATCAAATTTATTTGAAATTAAATTAATCTAGCTTTATTAATCAAATTAAACTAGTCAAATAATAACAACAGTTTCAAAATACTATACAGGGTGAGTTTCCTACGATGTTCTCTATGGGCATCTCGGAAACTACTGGAGATAGAGAGTCGGTTAATGGGGAAAAAATTGCAGTTTTGTGGGGTCATAAATATGCGCCTTTCGGTTTTTTGAAAAAGTTTATCGCTTACTAGATATTTCGAAAAAAAACAAATTTTGGCTATTTTAAAACTTGTCCCTAATTCCATTATAAACTATTTTAGACAAAAAGTTGTAGATAATCACATACCTAATGAGTTTGTGTTTTCTGATTTTTTCTAGAGCCTATAATTTTTGACCATAGTTGGCATGACTTCATAAAAATCGCCATTTTTAAGCTTTTCGTCGATATTACAGTTAGATATAGAGTTATAGTTATAGCCAATTCTTTTCTTTCTTGGCTAATTTCACTTAGTTAGCATGGTATTCTTACTCAGTTATGATTTATAACATAAAAACATAGAATATATTACCAACTTAACCCCATACACTTAAGTTATTTTAGAAAATGTTCTCCCGTACCGCCTCTTCGAGGGGGCCCATGCAATTGGTCCACCTCTTCCGATCCCTGAGTTTGCGTAATTGTGATATAAATAATTTTTAACTTTTAACATATCGAAATAATAATTTCTTTGTTAATACAGTTTATAATTTTTAAAATTAACAGGCAAAAATAATCTACAATCTACAATAAAATAAAAGTTTCGTTTCTAAATTTCTTAATCAGCTGATCCCTATTAAAGATGCAGAAACCCGGGCTATATTATTACATTACTCTGAGGAAAATAACGTTCACGATTTGTCCTCCAGTTGGCAGCACATTTTGTCTAGTCGGTTGACCAACTTTAAGAATATATAAACAAGGGTTACATGTACCAATACTGTCCGCAACGCCACCGCTCTGGTTTGCGCGCCCCTTAAACTAAATTAATAAAATTATATTTTTTCTCTTATTTATAGTATATCAAGGAAGCATGGTTGACGTATCCGTACCACTGCTGCGCGTTCAAGTATCCGAAAACTCACGACCCTGGCGAGTACGAAAAACACGTATCCGAATTGAAGAAGCTACAGGAGGCCTGCAGGAAGAACAAGTCAATCGTCACGTAAGAATATTAATTATTATAGACAATGTAATAACAGAAATAACTACTACGTATTTTTGATATTCCGAAGCTTAAAGCTTCGTTCAGAACCTCGCAATTACTGGTGTCAATTGGCGTAGAAGTTTGTTCCGTTAATTTCAATGTAAGGATTCATAACGTCAAAATTATTAGTAGAAATTTTGAATTAGTAGAAAAACTTAACAAACTTTTCACTTATCCACTAATTATCCTTCAAAATTTGCGAAGGATATAATTTTGGCCTTTGATTATTTTCTCTGTCAAAAGAAATTGTGGTGAAAAGTTAGATATTAGGCTTTCTCTATGGATACAAGTGATTACCGCAAGCTGTTGCTGGGATATTCTATTAATTTTAATTGTGTTTTTTAGACATTGTCAATGATTGTAAACTAACACTTATTTTTTATACAAGACGATAAAATGGTATTTTATCTTAGTAAGGTAGTTCTTGAAGAGCTTCGCAGTACAATTAATACCATCAAAAATAAATCCTCTTCTGGGACCGACGGGCTAACTTTAAAAATATTTTCGAGTCTGCCAGAAAGCACTCTGAATCACCTAACAGCTTTAATAAACATGTCGTTCCAAAATGTCTTAAGACGGCAATAATCATTCCTCTGCACAAAGGAGGAGACAAAGATGAAGCTTCTAACTATCGCCCAATTGCACTCCTTCCAACGCTATCTAAGATCATAGAAAGGTTGGTTAAAAGAAGGCTGGTATCTTTTCTGTTTAAGTACAAAATACTTACTGAATATCAATTTGGATTTCTAAGCAACAAGTCCATAAATGACGCTATGTTTTCGCTCCTTAATAAAGTTTACTCCAGCCTAAACAACCATCATTCTACAGCAACAATTTTCTGTGATTTTTCTAAGGCGTTCGATTGTGTAAATCATAAGATCCTAATTAATAAACTGCAGCACTATGGGTTCAGGGGATCATCTCTCGAATGGTTTAAGTCGTATCTGAGCAACAGAATCAACTTGTGAGGGTGGATACCACGTTGTCTTCTAGCAAGCCAATAGAATGTGGAGTACCACAAGGCTCAGTACTAGGCCCTATTTTGTTTCTTCTTTTTATTAACGACATTGCTAACATAAACATCAGTGGCAAAATATGTCTTTTTGCGGACGACACTAGCTTCACTTGGAGCAACAAGGACATCGCGGCACTTCATAGGATTATATCAAATGACTTAATCACCATTAAATCTTGGTGCGATTCGAACCTCCTGAGTCTCAACATTTCTAAAACTAAGGCTTTGTCGTATAAAAACTCGTTGCAGCCTTTTGTACTTGACAACACCACCATTGACGTCGTAAAATCCGTAAAATTCTTAGGGCTTGTTGTGGACAATTCTCTGAAATGGGACATACATATCGAAGCTTTGTCGAAAAAATTGAGCTCTGCCTGTTTTGCATTAAGGTCTGTTTCTAAGGAGCTTAACTTGTCAGTGGCTAGAACTGTTTATTATGCACTTTTTGAGTCGCACCTCAGGTATGCCCTTCCATTCTGGGGTACGTGTTGTGCGGCTCAATTTGACCGCATTTTCAAGCTCCAGAAGAGAGCTGTTCGATATTCACTGGGACTAAACAGCAGAACTCATTGCCGGGGCTTTTTTAGAGAATTAAAAATATTGACTCTTCCTTCCTTATTTATATTTGAATCCGTTTGCCTAATACGTAAACATGTATCAGCTTCTCAAGAAAGGCCATCTCACACTTATCCACTCAGGAACGCGGAGCAAGATCTTTATCTACCTACCCCACGCTCAGAGTTAGTTAAAAGTTCAATATTATACAACTCGAAAAAAATGCACAATCACCTGCCTTTTGAAATCAAATCCATAACATCATTTTTTTCATTTTGCAAAGCATTGAACTCTTATTTACTAGACAAGGCTTTCTACGCCGTAAATGAATTATATTTCAATTGAAAATCGCTAAAATTGCTATATTTACTATCGAAATTAATTTATTTAGAGGTCATTGATATTTTGCTATAAACTGGCTAAATATTTTTGAATATTATTTTAATTTTTTTGTTCTTTGACATTGTAAACATTTATAAATGTTTATTTTAACAATAAGACTGACAATATTATTTATATAATGTTTTGTATTATCTTTTGTTTGTTTGTTTGTGTACCTTACGACAAATAAATAAAGCTGTCACTTTAGTTGTCACTTTTGAGTCAATATTTTTTAATTCTCTTTCGTGTCGATTGCTGATTGAATTCGAGCCAGAAATGGCTCAAAACGAAATAAGTAAATTACCAACAGATATTCAGGCTGTTGGTAATTGCTATGAAAAAAAAGAGTATAAAGTGTAATTGAAATCACTAATTTATTCTACTAATTGCGAGGTTCTGAACGAAGGTTTTTTTTTACTAATTAAAAATTACTACCACAAATTTTGACGTCTTGAATGCTTAAGTGAAATTAGAGAAACGAACTTTTACGCTAATTGAAACCACTAAAATTAAAAAAAAATAGAGCGATAGTCAACTACGTCACTATGACGTAAAAGCGCGTGTAAAAGCACATAATTTACACGATTTCCCCAAACCTTTTTCCGATTCGATACATACACGCGTCGGACGAATCGCTTCATGTTTTCGCGGTGCTTATTGAAACGTGACCCAAACAGCGGCATTAATCAAAAAAGCCATCGAAACTGACAAACGAGCCCGTACTTCCGTAATGGGAGACGTACGTGCGACCACGCACCCTTTACCTCAATTTTCGAGGCCCGCCAACAGGAATAAATTACACTAGCCTAAACGTGAGATTTCCATCTTCGAGCGTATTTCGTATAAATCGCCTGTGACATCTGACCAAATCAGATTTTTTCCCACCCTTTTAAGCTCATCCATATACATTGTAATTTTATATTTTTTTTTAAAAACAACTAGTTAGTTGGAATTAAAATTATTTTGCCTTATACCGTGCTGGCAACTCTTACTTTTGGGTGGGTATTTACATATGCGGACGTAAATCGCATAGGGATCTTAAGTCGGAGTGAGAGAAATGCGGCGGTGCGCTGTTGCGGCGTTGCCACATTTCTCCGGTACGCCTTTCCCTATCGAGTAAAGTCAAATCACGATCGCAAACCGCTTATTTTTAAGGCTTTTTTTCGGAAAGATAACTAGAAAAAATCGTTAAATATTTTTCTGTGTATCTGAAATGGAGTTATAAGGATATCGTTAAGGTGTCAATTTTTTTATAACGAGAAAACGTCAGTAATCGCGATAGTTTAAAAAATCAACTTTTTAACTAGGGTTTCATCGAGACGAGAAATCTCGTCTCGTCTGGATCATCGAGACGAGATATTAACAAACTCTGGTCTCGATATTTTTCCCGAAGTCAATTTCTCGATCTCGATTCGAGAGTCTTGAAAATAAATAACTGATTTATTATTATTAAAAAAATATCATGTTATAAAGTCTGCACCAAAGGATAGGGTAAATTTTTTCTGTTAAAAAATTACGTTATAAAATACAGAGCTATTATAGGTGTGGTATGAACTAAAAGCCATGCATGTGTAACAAAAAAAAACGCAGACTTTGGCCCAAAACCCCAAAAATAAAAATATATTTTTTTAAAAAGCGAAAATCAAAACGATTCCTTTATTTTTTAATTTAGTCTTTTATCCATATGGGTTTAAAATTTACCTAGCTACCTACGAAAGTTTAAAATTTTTACTTCGTTGTGCAACCAACTGATTTTTATTTACTCGAAACAGTCTTTTATTGAAAAACTGTTTTTTCTTCGACATTACTTAAATTCGTTTAACTCAATAAAAGTTAATAGTGAAATTTATAAAAAAATGGTGCCATAAGAACAAGAATATATTATATTTACGGCATTTCTTTATTCTGAAAAGACCGACTGATCGAACAGTTTTGGAGCAGTTATCTTTTGATTATTTGTAATAATTGTAAATAAAAAATGTAAATTAGCATTGTACGAGAAAATATTTCCCAACATAATTTCCATTTTTCTAGCCTTTTATGAGCTGTTGAGTTATTGCAGCATCTAAAGCTTTTCGAGATCGAGAAATCTCGAAAAAGTTTCTCGATCTCGAAAAATCTTGAAAAAGTTTTTTTCTCGATCTCGTCTCGAAAAAAAAACCTCAGTCTTGTCTCGATCTCGTCTCGAAATCGAGATGAGACGAGAAATCTCGAATTTCGAGAATCTCGTGAAACTCTATTTTTAACACATAACACACGATAACTCAAGAACCATTTTAGATATTGAAACTTTTTTTTTATTTTGAAGTTCAGATCTTTTACAAGATGTTTAAATAAAAAAAAATCGATAGGCTTGTTTTTTTTTCATTTAAAATTTTAAAAAAACCCGTGCATAGCAATTTTCAGCAATCATGTAACTTTTTAGTTTTTATAAAGATTTTTACTGTCTGTGATGAAAATATACTAGAAATCTTAAGAAAGTTATATCTCCGTACATTATAAAAATTATACAGATCATACTGTGGATAGTATCGGATGGCTGTAATGTTCTACAAGCAGAGGTTTACGCCATAAAGGAAGCGGCTAGTTGTATACGAGAGAAAATTGCTGATAGACCAATAGGGGATATAGTGATATACTCTGACAGCTTGCCCGCATTAAGAAGCATCACCATGCAATCAGTGAGATCGAAAACTGTGATGGAATGCCGAGAAGCACTGTCCTGGCTGCGTCGGGGTGGGGCTACTCTGTGCTGGGTGCCAGGCCACAGCAATGTGGTGGGCAATCAGGAAGCAGACAGACTCGCCAAAGACGGGGCCAGGGGAGAGGCCGTGGCAGATGACCCACCACTTTTGACGATCAACACACTGAAGGAGGCTATAGGAACTGCCATCAAGGCCAAGCAGCAAGAGACGTGGCAACACCGTGAGGACTGTGCTACAGCTCGAAGACTATGGCCAGTGGTAGATAGCAAAAAGACAAAACAGCTACTAGAGCATAAAAAGGACCTAGTACGCATAATTGTAGGTGTCGTCACTGGAAACTGTTCCACGGGGGTAAACCTCGTAAGATGGAAAGTTTCCGACGACGACTACTGCAGAGAATGCGGAGAGGAAGAAGAAACCATAGAGCACCTGCTGTGCCACTGTCCGGCACTGGAATACCGACGCATTAAAACTTTAGGGCAAGGTTTTTTGGAGGGACTAGAGGAAGCAGCAGAAGCCAACATCAGCGACATCGGGAACTTTGCAAAGAGCTGGAAGTGCTTTAACGCAAAGAAAGAATGAGAGGAAGGTTTGGTAAAACAATACAGGGGTATCGCAATGGGCCCAAGGCCTCCGAGTGAGGGATCAAATATGATCCCAAACCCCAGCAACCTAACCTAACCTAACTGTGGATAGTTCTGACTACAACGAAACGCATTAGCAAACAAGGGAGATGTCAATGTTAGTCGGGAACTATTGTGAACTAAAGACCCAGTTCAATGAACTATTCCTCTGGAGGAACTAGAACTAAGAAACTAGTTCCTCCCAAGGAATTCCCACCTCCAAGACTAACCTTTGCCAGCCCTTAGTATACTGATATACTGTCTTATACAGGGTGCCCAGTTCAAACGAAACAAGGCAATTTAAAGGCATTTCTGGTATGAAAAGAACAAAACGGTGTAACACTTTTTGAAGCCCCTAATTCAAACCTCACGCGAACCGGAATTAAAGTTTTTTCGAAAATAAAGTTGACGTGTTTTGCCGTTTTGTACTTTTCACACTAGAAAGGCCTTTAAATTGTCTTGTTTTGTTTGAAGTGGGACACCATGTATATTATTTTGTTAATTTTCAGCTGGAAATCTGGAGAACTGTCCAATTCTCCGTCGAATTATACTGTCGACGAGGAGGAGACATGGGGTGAGGACAATGGGGTTTTCCATAACGTTACAAGGAAAGTTTTCGTGAAACCTCTATGTAATAACGTGAAAATAATGGATTTTCAAGAGGTGAGTCGTCCCTTTTATTACGATTTACGGCAACTAATTCATAAATATCTTTTAGAGTAAGAATTTGCTTGAGAAAATAATAGTTTTAAAAGAATGAAAACTAAGATTGAAGAATGAATAAGAATAGTTGACAAAATTAAATTATTAGCTACTAGCTACCATGTTTATTAAAAATTAACCGATATAAAAGTAATTGAAGTGTTGTTTGTCGATTAGATGAAATATTAAAATCCTTTTTAGGTTCTCTTTAAGAAAAATTATCTTTTTTAATACATCCGGTATTTTTACATTAACCGCATGAATTATTCATGCGCATAACTCAATTTCTTCTGAGGCACTCTTATTTTTTTCTTATTTAGATATACGTTTGCCTATTGGGAATTGCAGATTTTCCTCTCGCTAAACAAAAACAAACAAACAATTTATCTTTTATACTGAAAAACAACGTATTGTGTTTCTCCTATAGATAGATATTGTTTATACATATTTAATTAATATGAGATACGGTTTTATTAGATTGTATTTTATTTTTAATGGTATTTATTTAAAATGTATGGCATTGTACACCCACTACGTGACATTTTAATAGTTGTTATTCTGCATCGAAAAAAAAACTTGCATTGAACAAGTTAAGTTCTTGTTTGTTAATGTTTGTAAAAAAGGCACTTCTCTATTATACAGAGTATCCCAGAAATAAGTGCAAGTATTTTAAGAGGTGGTAGATCTGGCTAAAAGAACCATATATTTTCTCTTTGCCGTTTTTAAAATAAATTAATAATAACCGAGTTATTTAATTTTGGAAATTTAAAAAATAATGGCAACATTTTGAGAGCCGCCGACAGCAATCAATAATCAGCCGCAAATACCAAGCAATTACCAGAATCTCAGCTTGTTCGACGTTCAGTGTTGACACACCAACTAGAAAGATTTAAAAGCGACTTGGAAAATTCAAATTAAAAGTAAAAAACTCTAAAAAGATTAGAAAATGCACACCGATAGAAAGCAGATCGATGTAAGTTAAGTAATAGTATTTTTACAGGCTTATCTTACATTTGTTTATTATTTGGAGGTTTACTGTCTTGAGTAAAATATTAAATGAATTGGATAACCTAAAATTCAAAATCAGCTTATCTGTTTAAATGTAAGTAAAACGCTGAGTATTTATATATCTAATAGAGGGCGCTGATTCAAAAAATTTAAAAAAAAGGTGAAAAAAATATTTGACTATTTAGAGTTTCATTATTTCAGTTTAGTAAACTGTAAAAAAGGTTTTTAAATTAGTAGACGTTGCACTCTACCTAATAGTAATCTACAATGATTAAAAAACAACATAATTTGAAACGATATAGTTTAATCTAAAAGGATTAAAAAATAATATAATATATACAGTAGGGGGCACCAAAAAAAATAAACATTCTTTTCTTTTTAGTTACTGTGAAAATATCGTTCAAGATGATGAAAAAAAAATTCTAGTAGAGTTTGAACTTTTAATATTAATAATTTTAGGTGTTTGAGACATTGTTTCGTGATAAAATAAGATCGTTTATGTTTATGAGCCAATAGTTCGTGATAAAATATAAAAAATTGTGGAAGTTATCATATACGATTGGAAGTTGAACTTTAACCTTCAATAACTTTCAAACGAGTCGATTAAATAAAAATTTATATCAAACCTTTTTTGAAGACCGTTCAATTTTCTACAAGAAGATCTATTGATTTTTACCAAATGCTGATTTGTTAGAACACAATAAAATACCAAAGAAAAAAAATGTTTCCCCGTGTTATTTAAATTGGAAATTAAAAGAAAATCACGATGAGGCTACAACCTCTTAATATTAATATTAAAAGCTCAAACTTTACCAGATTTTTTTTTTCACCGTCTTGAACGATATTTTCACGGTAACTAACAAAAAAAAAAGTATTATTTTTTTATATTATTATCTCTCTTTGCCGTATATTATCCACTATATTATCCACACAGAATGTGGATAATATAGGAGGTGGCAACATTAAATTCTTTTGAAGCACTATAAACAAATTTCCAGAAACTGAATAAGCGACACTCAAAAGTTTTTCAATATTTTCCGGAAAATGATAAAGAAAAATATAAAATTTTCAACATTTTTTTTTCAAAAACATTAATGGGCGTGTTTTGGGGATCGAACTATACTACCAAACTCTTAATATACTTATACTTATTTCTGGGACACCCTGTATAACAGATTTACACGATGTGAAACTATATTTCAATATACAAGTAATTCCGAAAATGTAGCAAGAGAAGGATTCTCTCTTAAAAACATACTAGATTTATTGATTTATTGATTTATTGATTTATTGATTTATTGATTTATTGATTTATTGATTTATTGATTTATTGATTTATTGATTTATTGATTTATTGATTTATTGATTTATTGATTTATTGATTTATTGATTTATTGATTTATTGATTTATTGATTTATTGATTTATTGATTTATTGATTTATTGATTTATTGATTTATTGATTTATTGATTTATTGATTTATTGATTTATTGATTTATTGATTTATTGATTTATTGATTTATTGATTTATTGATTTATTGATTTATTGATTTATTGATTTATTGATTTATTGATTTATTGATTTATTGATTTATTGATTTATTGATTTATTGATTTATTGATTTATTGATTTATTGATTTATTGATTTATTGATTTATTGATTTATTGATTTATTGATTTATTGATTTATTGATTTATTGATTTATTGATTTATTGATTTATTGATTTATTGATTTATTGATTTATTGATTTATTGATTTATTGATTTATTGATTTATTGATTTATTGATTTATTGATTTATTGATTTATTGATTTATTGATTTATTGATTTATTGATTTATTGATTTATTGATTTATTGATTTATTGATTTATTGATTTATTGATTTATTGATTTATTGATTTATTGATTTATTGATTTATTGATTTATTGATTCATTGATTTATTGATTTATTGATTTATTGATTTATTGATTTATTGATTTATTGATTTATTGATTTATTGATTTATTGATTTATTGATTTATTGATTTATTGATTTATTGATTTATTGATTTATTGATTTATTGATTTATTGCTTTATTGCTTTATTGCTTTATTGCTTTATTGCTTTATTGCTTTATTGCTTTATTGCTTTATTGCTTTATCGATTTATCGATAAATCGATTTATCGATTTATCGATTTATCGATTTATCGATTTATCGATTTATCGATTTATCGATTTATCGATTTATCGATTTATCGATTTATCGATTTATCGATTTATCGATTTATCGATTTATCGATTTATCGATTTATCGATTTTCTAGACATATATACCTTTCATTTAAAGAAATGATCATCAAGATTGGTAAAGCAGTTTCGGCGGGCTGGATGTAACAAAAAAAGCCTTTGAGCTTTTATATATGTATGGATGGATGGATTATAGCAAATCACACCCTAATATGTTTAGACTACTTAGATTGTAGATTGTATTTTGTATGGAAGGGGGAAAATTAATCATCGCGGTCTTACAGATCTATTGTGTCCCCTTTTTTTGCTTCTTAGCTTCAATCTACTGAGATGTTCATTGAGAAGACAGTGTTCTATTAAAAACCCCATAACTATCCGAAGATTGTTCTTACAAGATTACTTAGATACTTAGATTGTTTCTTATAAGGTAAAATCTTTGATTTTTCTCGGTCGTAACTCCTGACAAATTTCTTCGAGTGTCTTAGACCTTTAGAATATTCCCATCCTAACTCTAGGTTTACTTCTTTTTCTATTCGATATATGAAATAAATATATTACTATTTGGATATGCTAGGCGGCAGCGATATGAAATAGATTAAATTTCATGTAGACACTCCTTCTCAACGTAGCGAACGAACTTTGCCACAAACGTCTCGTCTCTAGGTTTCTGATGGGAAATTTTCAATTAGAAAACTAAAACCTAGAACTAAACAATTCTGCCCCTACTTTGCTGTCTTTTGGGGGAACCCTCATCCCCAGCGGTGACGTTAATCTTGCATAGTTTTGACAGGATGATTCATTAATAACTCACTCGATCTGATCTAATCGAACCGAAATTATTCAAAAAAGAAAATGAGAGCAGGCGAATGACATTGACAGGTTTTAATATCGAGAAACTCAAATACGATTGCATGACATATCTATAGGAAAACCGTAGCGTACATACTATAGAAAAATAAATACATTCAGATGCAAAAACAACGCAACGAAGTGTTATATTTTTGTTATTTTTAACCCTATTTTCATTATTTTTTTAGCAAACTGTAAATAATTATATCAACTATAATTCGTAAACTAAGTTTTTCAAACGCTGGTGTACGATATGGAGAAAAAAATTGGAGAAACAGGTAAAAAAAAATTCGGAATGCCTTCAGCGTGGGTGAAACATGTAATTAAAATTCAATAATATATTTTTTCCATCATTCTGGAAAAGTTAAATTTATACCTTCCCACTTTTCATAAACCAGTATACATTACACTTTTTTTTAATGAATTTTGATGTAAAATAAATACTTCCTAAAAATCTTTTACTAAGAAATTTTTTACTAAATAGGTTCCTTAAATCTTTATGAAAATATTTTATATTGGTATTTATATACAGGATGACTCGAAACTATTCAAAAAATTGCAAAATTTTGTTGCGAATTTCTTGTTCAGTTATTCCAATTCTCTTTTATTTTTAGCTCTAGTATATCGATTGGGTCTCTGGAGTAGTTCGGGCTGAGCTAATTTATATTCTTGCCAAACCCCAACACTTTGCCATTTATTTTATCAAAACATGAGATTATTAATGGTGTAAATGGCAAGAAAAGGGAAAAAACTAAGGTAGACACCAACAAAAACCTTTTAACGATATCATAAAGTTTGTTACTGTTCCGAAACACACAATCCAAAAGCTGCTTTAAGTGTATTAACCCGAAGGGTCAATCCTACGTAGCTA